GATTGAAATAGCTAAAGGAGTGGAACCTACCCAGGCGGATTCAGAAATTATAGATTATATTAGATTTCTATAGAAGAAATAATATTATAAACGCTAAAACCATATACTAATGAACGGGGATGAGCTCTAACGTGACCAGTGTAAACTTTCAAATTATTTCAGTTATTTTTGCTGGCTAGTCTGAAACGGATCCTGAGCAGTGTAATTTTTTTTCTTGATTATCACCCCGTAGAATCTGCTTAACATGTGTTTCTACCATCGCCACGCTTATCTGATGGGTTAATGAGTGGGGTATACACGGAAACTCTCATCTCCGACGCTGCTCCCCTTCATTTAGGTAATTTACGTCTGGCATAATATTGTATAAAATGGATATCAAACAGAGATATTGCTATCTATCAGAGACTATTTTTTTGAAACTTTATAGCATATCATAGTTATCTGTAAGACTAGAATATAAACTTCGTGACATTTCCCACATTCGCCTTTTCGATATTCTCGTGATGAAATGGGGTGATATAATCTCTTACGCTACTACCACTCGGAAGTTGGTAAGGCTGTAAATTAGGTTATTCAGAATTCAGAATTGAATCAAATAAAATTATTATTCATTTGCTGGATATAAAAACTATATTAGATAAAAACTATGAATGAGACAGGAGGTTCTGTAAATTGCATATCAGCCTTGCAATACCACGAGGGAGTACACATGGAATTAAATTCTAAATTATATGAATATACGTTTGTTCAAATTTACTATCAAAATGTATATAATATTGGGTGTAAGTAGACATAATTTTGATCGAAGGACACTTACAAGTAAGTTATTTTGATTTTTTTGCGCCCGAAGCAAATATGGGCAACCCTCCGGAAAGCGGGGGAGGGAGGCGGTGAATGCTCATAGCATACCACGCAGCCGGCTGCGTGGTTATGTGGAGACTTTTACCCACTAAACACCACCTTTATGGATTGGCTTACCGATCTGACGAGAGATCTCTAAGCCGTATACGAACGCGACCCTCCTTGGCAGAAAGGAGGACGCAGTTACTTTGATCAAATAATTATACTGTTGCGCGCCTAATTTGATGTAAAGTACCTGGAACTAGTGCCATCTAGTCTCGGAGAAAAGAGCGAGGAGGGATTCCTAGAAAATGTCAATCTTGACTTTCAACCAAGAGCGCCATCTAATAGTGAATTGTAGAACTAAGCTTTCTAGAAGCCCCACACTCGAAGTTTCTGCGTCTGGTCGGTCGGCACCCGTATCTACGGGAATATTCTGTATGTTTCGGTGTAAAAGTGTACTTAAACGCGATCAGGGCAGTATTGAATTTGGCGAGACAAGCAAAGCTTCGGAGCGAAATAAAGTGAATCAGTGTGATAAATTATTAGTGTTTTTAAGTTTTAATTGGTGTTCGGTTATAAAAGTGTAAATTTTGGTAATTCAATCGGCAGTTTTTATTGTCACGAACCTCAAACTCGTAACAATTGGTGTCAGAAGTGGGATAAAATCATGCCGATTTTACCTAAGGAGGAAACGGAGGGTGTCCGTACCCGAAGTCAGCGCCAACAGGAGACGGAACAAAGAAGATTTGGTGGTGCAACGCCGCAAACGTCGGAGGGCCAGCCGCCGGCTGCAGGCCCGTCAGTAGCTCCTACATCTGCAGCACCTGACTTAGGTGCTCTGATGGTGATGCTGCAGGAGCAGGCTCGCCGGCAGGAGGAACAGGCTCGCTGACAGGAGAAACAGGCTCGACGACAGGAAGAACACTGACGGACACTTGAAAGAGCAGCTGCAGAGCGGACAAGAGGAACAGGTCCGTCGTTTGGAAGAGCAGCTGCGGGGTGGACAAAAGAAAGAGGCACGTCGTTTGGAAGAGCAGCTGCGGGGCGGACAAGAGGAACAGGCCCGTTGGTTGGAAAAGCAAATGCACCTTCACGCTACCTTCGGGAAGAAGATAAAGGAGGTGAAGGACAGGGTTGCTCAGCATGACAACCGCCTGTCGGAAGCTGAAACCGAAATTGCGAAAGCTGAAACCCGAATGGAGAAAGTTGAAACCCGAATCGACCAAGTGAACAATCAGATTGACAACGTGATGGCTGACGTGAAGAGAACGCTGGACGACCTCAAACTGGGGGATGGAATTACAGCTCCCGTAGTAGCTACAACACCTTCGCTACGTGGGTTCAAGGTGCCATCGTTTGACGGGACTTCTTTCTGGTCGGCCTAAAAAATCCAGTTCAAAGCTGTTATGAAGGCGAACGGCTGGAATAAAAGACAGGCCATGACTGCTCTCACACTAGGCCTGCGCGATCAGGCCTTAAAAGTTCTAGAAGCTCTCGGTAAGAAAGTGACTTATGAGCAGCTCCTTGAGACATTAGAGGCGAGATATGGCGATGCTCACCTGAAACACGTCTTTCGTGCGCAGCTTAAAGATCGCGTGCAGCGTATCAACGAAAACCTGCAGCAGTGGGCTCTAGAGGTGGAGAAGTTGGTGTGAAAAGCATACAGGTCTCTACCTGCGCTCGTTGAAGGGAACCTGGTGCAAACATCCATCGACGGCATTCGCGACCTTTTCAGAGCTGCTGTGAGGCTCGCGCACCACGAGACCCTTAAGGACGCCATGGCCCATGCACTGCAGGTGGAAGCCGTGCAGCAGAATCATCGTTCCCATCGCGTCAAGGAGGTTGCAGCAGCTACAGTTCGCGACCGTAATAAAGGATACAGCCCTAGGTGCTATGGCTGTAGAGAAAGGGGCCATCTTCGATCCAGCTGCCCTAAGCGAACCGTATAAAGGGAAGGTGAACGATCTCAAAAAGGAAGTGTGGCTAACAGCACCACCCAGCAGCAGCAGGAATATGACTTTACTATCACACACTGCAGCGGGAAATGGCGAGGTAACACAGATGCATTATCAAGAAGTCCTTATCTTGATGACGGCGAGAACAGTACTAGGTAAGAGAGTAAGGAAGTGGTATCAGTGAGGATGCTCAGGACAGACCATCTCAGCAACGAATGGAAGGACAGCTTACAACATGCATAGCAGGAAGATCAGGTCATCAAGCCGATTCTGGAATGAATGAAGACCCGTGCTACGAAGCCCGAGTAGAGTGACGTCTCAGCGATGAGTTCGACAACTAGAAGCTATTGGGCCCAATGGGGCAGCTTGCTGATTCAGGATGGAGTCCTGTACCGTAAATAGGACGATGGTCGAGGAGACAACTGTCATTTGCAAATGGTTGTCGCTAAAGCTAAAGTAGCGGATGTTCTACAGCTGTACCATAATGATTGTTCAGGAGACCATCTGGGAGTTAAATGAACTCTATTGAAGTTCCGAGAACGGTTTCACTGGGGCCATTATCGTGACGATGTCGAGGATTGGTATCGCACATGTACAAGTTGTGCGGCTGTGAAAGGACCTCAGACTCGTAGTAAAGGAGCATCGAAATTGTACAATGTTGGTGCACCATGGGATAGGACAGCCTTTGACATTGCGGGACAGTTTCAGAAAGGCGCAAGAGGGACTCCTAAGATCGTCTATGTGGATCGCCTGGCGCGTTATTATGGGGCCGATAATGCTCGGGACGAGCATGTCTTATGAATGGGCAGTGTTGCGTGCCTAAGTTTACGTCAGGTACCTGGCATTAACGCCATCTAGTGTCGGGGAAAAGAGCGAGGAGGGCTTCCTTGAAAATGTCAATCTTGACTTTCGACCGCAACAACAGCGCCATCAAGTATTCAATTGAATAACTAAGCTTTCTAGAAGCCCCACACTCGAACTTTCTGCGTCTGGTTGGTCTGCGCACGTATCTACGGGAATATTCTGGATGTTTGTGTCACCACGGTTCCCATCGCCTCCGTAGTAAATTTTATAAAATAAAAGAATTGCGTCAAATTTACAAGGTAAACTAACTTTAAACAATAGTGTATTGAAGAGAAAGTGCCACAAACGTTATTTACGTGAAAACGTTAAAAATATATGTGTTTATGTTGAAATTTTCATTGTGTGTATAAACAGAAAAAAAAATCGACAATATAAGTGTGAGTGCATGAACAATGGACTATAATATAAATAAACACGAATTTACTTCATTTCGACTCGGTGAGTGACTATGTAAAAGACAACACAAAATTTTCTAATTATTCGGACGTTATAAATTCAAACTTGACATAAATAAAGATCAGCTGGTGAATCATCATAACGTTCATATCTAATCTCACTACTACTATTCACTAGACGTCGCTACCTTCCATATAAAAAATTGCATTAATGAGCGCCATCTAGTTAATTGTTGAAGAAAGTGATTCACGTTAACGGACATATATAAGTACGTCTTAAGTAACATGTCTACTCGTCATTAGCTGCCCCTACTTTCCATACAAGAAATACCCTAAATAAGCGTCATCTGTATGTCCCCCTGATACAGTAACGACATCTACTAATACATTACTGAATTAAAAGCATTGTATATATTTTCATTGACAAAATGACAAAACCCAATTTAAAAAATACAGGTAATGACCGTAAGATGACACCACAAGTTACATGTTCCAAATGTGAGGAGGTAACAATCAAAATGTGATATGTTACTTGGATATGGAACAAAGAAAAATAAACATTTTTGATTTTAGTGAATTGAGTGTAAGTTTAAGATTCATATAAAAGTAAAAAAAAACACAAATTATTGCTAATGAATAATATTATATTATATTTTAATGGATAAGTCAAGTCTCTATCTCTTTATTTAATTTTTGAAAAATGGACAAAACACGTTACGCATGAACCACATGGACAAAACATGTTTTGACTTGAAAAAATGTTTCAATCTCGCAGCCGAAACGTGTTTTGTCCATTTCTAACTACAATCTTTTGAGTCTTAGATTAGTGTATGTTGTGGATCTGTTTTGATAAAAAAACAGTATTTTAGAAAACATGTTTATTTTAGCAATATTAATTAGTAAAACTTTTATTGACTTATTTTACCAATACAATCAGTAATACTTAAATTCTCATACAAATCTCATTATTCAGACAATCACACTCATTTTCATTATCATCAATTGTTTCCTGAATAGTGGTTGGAGTATTGAAAAGAACTTCTTTATACCAGTTTAAACGGATGTCCTCAATCTCCTGCCAGTTTCCAAAAACAGACTGTAGTAATTTGTTTACATCCATCTTTTTTTCATTAGGTAGAGATCTGAACATGTTGTGCATCTGTTTAACATGTTAATGGTGAATGATTTCTTGTTCAAATTTTCGTATGTTTCATTTCCTTCATAAATAAAGTTTTCCATCTGACTGACCGTTTACCATTAACCTCGCTGACTTTGAAGAAAATCCTTTTCATATTGCTTATGTTTTTTAGATCTTTGTAGAACTTCTTTAAGTCCTTGGTATCTTTGAGTTCCCAGTCTTGTCCTAATGAATACAACTGTCCCAGTTCTTTAAAAATTTCTATATATTCTTCTTTTGCGATAATAGTGGGCTTGTTTCGCAACAGTTTTTCAGCCCTGCCAAAAACTCTATCGGCAGGCAAAAAGGAATGGCCTCGAGTTGGAAAATGCATATGAATTTCCTTAATAGATGTTCTTGTAGTTTGCAAATAGTACATAATAGTACGTATTACAATATTATTTTTATTTTGAGAGATACATCCATCACTAAACAGTCTTAAAATGGTGTGTGATTGGAAATCAGTATTCAGAAGGAAATGTAACAAAGCAGATGATATTTCTGTACTTCCTTTACCGGCTTGTTCTTCAGACCAGCAGTAAAACTGTGGTTTCAGTTCTTTTAAATCGACTATACAAAAGTTGTAAAATCCAATTTGTCTCAAATAGTATGCCTCCTGTACCGGTGCTTTTGGCAACGGTTGGATTTGTTGTAAATCAAAACAGTAGCTTATCGAATCTTCTACATCCTGCCTCATTAGCTGATAAAATGCATTCGCTCTCTTCTTATGAATTATTTTTTCTATAATGACATCATTCCCCCTATATATTATTTAGAATTATGCAATAACTGCACACATCGGTAGCTGGTGATTTAAAACCAATATTAAATTCATTAACAAAGATTCGTCTAAACATTGAAAGTTTCACTTTCAGTTCATCAGTGGTATTCGCATTGTATATTTTAAGTAATTTTTTATAGTAATTTTTTTAATACTCAAGCCTGCCATCAAACAGATTTGTTTATACTTATTTCTTCCATAATGACTTTAACTTCCTCGAAGTTTTCCAATGAATTTTCTGACATTGTCTTTCTTCTCCCGGCTTAAATGACTTTTTCGGTCACCTCCTCTATTTTCTTTAATTCTTTCACCCTGAAAATGCTTTTTTGCTATGTTTTGAAGCCTAGTAATTCTTAGTAGCCTAGTATCTTAGTTACTTCAAGAAAAAAACTTCTTGCAAACTGGAACCCTCTGAGAATCAACTGTTAAGAAGTATTTCACATTGAATAGATGTTATGACACAACCTTCTTGTTAAGTTTTACTCTAGGTCTCCTTCGCTTCACTTGGTGAGTCTGAATTAAAGATGAAATGATCCCATCTTTAGCAAGTTTTTCCGGAACCGAACACAACTTTGTTCGCATATGCATAACGTGCTTTGGTGTAACTTTTTGAGCAACGAAAGATTTTCGTGTCGTGTGCACAAGGGTGAATAACATTAGAATTATAAAGTTTAGAATACTTCATCTTTTTGGCAGCAATTCTTTTTCCACCAGTGATACGTCTTTTACTGCTACCACTATTCCCCGCTTGTACTTCTGTAGTATCCGTTTCGTCTACGATATCGTCCATTTTATATTGCATTAAAAATTAGCGTTACAATATTATTTTATTTAATTCAAAAATCGAAAAATACGACACAGTAAAATAACCTCACATAGGTAATGAATGACAACAAGTGGTTCATTCAGATTCATTCAAACTGTGTTAAGTCAAATGTCAAAATGGCGTCCACTTATTTGTGATTGGTTGTTCGGACAAAACATTTTATGATGTTAGCCTGCTGAAGGACAGAACACGTTTTGTTTTTACTGCCTATTTTACTCATTAAAAATATTTAGAGAAAACATGTTTTGATGCAAACTGTTCTTTTAAAAAATATGGAGCCCATAGAGTAGACGAAAATGGTATTATCAACTTTTTTCTTTTTTTGTGACAAATCACGTTTTGATTGTTACCTCCTCATGTAAGCGCAAGGTACATTTTCGAATTTTATTGCGTCGGATACTTGGAGAGACTATACCGCTTAAATGATGCAGCAGCTAAAAATAAATGGAAGTGCAAAGACTGTAGCCAAAAATCAAAAGGCACTTCGACACCTTACTCCTCTTTATCGCACGTAACCGCAAGGAAATATAAAACAGCTAAGAAATCCGACAAAAACCCTTCTACCTATAGTGCAATTTTTAAGCCGACTGAGATGGAACCTTCATAAATGGCGCCTGCAAGTGTGTTGTTAATGAGTAAATGTTGTTAGTATTGTTGTAAAACAATTCTAACATAATTGAATTAAGGTTATCTAACAACAGGTCTATTTTTTGACTTGTTCAAGGCGTTTGATTTTGTAGACCACGACCTCTTATTAAACAAACTTGAAACGATTGGTATAAGAAGACCTACACTACAGTGGCTATCATCCTACTTGAAGAATCGGTGTCAGCGTGTCACTGTTAACAAAATCATAAATAGCGAACTGGTGACATGTTCTTCTACCCTAAAAAAAATAACACGTGTGGTATCCCTCAGGGAAGTGTCCTAGGTCCACTTATGTTTATATTGTACATAAATGACATAACCAAAGTGACTATATATCAATCGAATTGTGACATCAGAAAAAAATAATAAAATCAATACAATGACCACGAAATTGAGATTAATAATACTATTGACAACATTATTAAATTGCTAGAGGAAAATAATCTAAAATTAAATTTAGATAAATCAAATTTTATTCAATTTAATTAATCCAAATATGATAAATAAAATTTTTAAAATCGATATTGAAAAGATTAAAGAAATTACACATACTAAGTTTTTAGGTATAACGATAGACCAGGACCTTAACTGGAAATTACACATTGAAGTCTTATGCAAGCGTATTAACAGCTTTGTTTATGATCTTTATAAAACAAGGAGCGTAACTAACTTGCAAACAGCCATTACCACTTACCACGCGTATGAAGCCTCCATTCTACGTTATGGGGTGATGATATGGGGCAATAGTACTGAGAGACAAAGGGTATTTATAGCGAAAAAAAAATGCATCGGAGCCATATGTGGGATTCCACCGGGCGAGTCCTGTAGTACATCGTTTTGGAGCCTGGGCTTACTTCCTTTGCCAGCACTGTACATCTTTGAAATGAATTGTTTTGTAAAACGCCATACTGAGCTCTTTTAGAAAGCCAGAGATATAAACTCTCGATAGAAAAGAAATCCGGAGCGATTAGTGTTAAGCGTCATTCCAAGATCTGCTAAATTCAGTAAAAGTTGTTTAGCAATGTGTGTTAAGGTGTATAATAAGATCCCCAATGACATCAAAAACCTCAAAATCAATTTATTCAAATCGAGACTCTATAAGTGGCTTATTGAACTTAAAGTGTATTACATTGAAGAATTTATTGACATTAAGCTTTAATAATTATTGATTTGTTGACATTGATTTTAATGAATATATTTGACCCCTTTGAAATAAATGTTACCTGAACATAAACTTAAATTTGCATGCTAATTGTAAGCAAAACATGTGAACTTATTTTACTGTACCACCTACAAACACCATGTTTTAAGCAAATAAAGAAATTATTATTATTATGTTTCGGTGTAAAAGTGTACTTAAACCCGATGCATGCCGCGACCGGGGCAGTATTGAATTTGGCGAGACAAGCGAAGCTTCGGAGCGAAATAAAGTGAATCAGTGTGATTAATTGATAGTGTCAATAAAATTTAATTGGTGTTCGGTAGTAAAAGTGTAAATTTTGGTAATTCAATCGGCAGTTTTTATTTTCACGAACCTCAAGCTCGTAACTATACTAATTTTGCTGAGGCCACAATACGCTGCAACCTGGCCCTATATATAATTTATTTATATAAATATATTCAAATTAATAAGCAAAGATCTACACCAAAATCAAAAGTTTATATGTATGTTTTATCCTTTATAAAGAGCGTCTCCCTCCCTCTCTGCATTGCGTGCACTCCTACCGTTACCACTAATCTCAACATCAGTAAAAACACACAACGTGGTGTGTCTTTACTAGTATAGTGACACAGGCTGCCATTGACTCTAAGAGAGACACCATCTGGAGAAATAGAGCGCTAAGTTGGCCATCGCAGAGTTCTTCAAGCGGATCTTAGCTAATTTATTTTGAAATCTTAATTAAATATCCTTAAAGTTATGCTTGAGTCTATTATTATTATTTTTGTTATAACTTTTATCACTTATATTTTCTAAGCATAAATAATTTGTCCACTTAATGTGTTGCGTATTGTTGTTGGTAATGGTCGAAGTTGCGAATAATTTAGTAACTTAAGCATCTAAATGCCTCGTATATATAATGTTAATCTGTGTTTAACAGTTTTACGACTTTCACTTGCTAACTTTTAAATAATACTTTATTCAAGTCGTTGCCCCTGGGAAATTTACAAGGGATAATTTGAAGCGCGAATTGCATTAAACGTCGATAAATATTTATAAACTAAAGTGAAAAGTATCATCAATAGTACAATTGTTACTGTTTTTCTTCTGTTCGTTGAGTTAACGTTGCATAGGTAAAACAGTTACAATTAAGAGCTATACGTAGTTATTCATAAAATATTCTTTTATGTCAAGTAAAGTTGATATAAATGAAGGCGATAAGCTGTTCCGTTACGTGGACGGATAAAATTCACTTCAGACTTTTTACAGTGTAAACATAAATATTATTTGTGGCGGCATGCACCTTTTTATTTTGTTTATGTATTGAACGTCGCACACGCCGATGCGATGTTGGTGTCGCTTGCTGTCGGGAATGCTCGGCGACGTTCGGTTTGCTTTCGAGACAGCCCGGGCGTCTTCGTTTTCCCCAGCAGTATGCATTGAAATGGCCTTAGAGTTAGACCCCACGCTTTTGAGCCGCCGAATTAACGGTTGCCGTTCAAATCGCATAAATGTATTTTTGGCTTGCATATTTTAAATTCTTTTATACGTTTTATTACTTGTATTTAGTCTTTATTTCTCTTGTTTGGTGCTGTAATATCTGTGTTGCAAACTGTCCTTGTGTAAAAAGAAAACATTATAATCTTGGAAGAATGAAAGGCGTTTCCATCATTGCCCTGCTTAACCTCCTAAATATTAATTATTATTTGACCACAACACAATCTCAGGGGCCAGATTTTGTTGATTTTATTATTTGTCAATAAATCAACATACTATATTGTTAATATGAGTTATGAGTATGAGATATTTGGTTCTCAAATATAGATTTTGTAAACATTTTGAATACTATGCCACTCGATGACTGACAGAGATATATCTATATATATATATATATAAAAAAAAAAAATATATATATATATATATATATATATATATATATATATAGACTGACTGTAGATTTAAAACATCTCCTAGACAAAACGAGTATATTTAGTGAATATAACCTCAAAAGTTCAAGTCAGTCAGAAGTGCATCTGTTAGTGATCGTGTATCGTAATATAAAACGGTCTATTAAAGAGGACCGCAACCAGCAAAGAGCTACTAGAATTGTCAACGACTGAGGTGTTTCTTTCTGATTAGCTCAATTCACTAGTACTACAATACCTAGATGTTGTATTTTTCACCTTTACATGTTCTATCGTATTTGTAACGGAGAGTTTTCAGGGGAATTATAGGAATTTAAGACCAAGTGGTCACAATATTGGCAATTACCACTATGAGATT